CATCAAATTCATGACTCGAGTCTGACTCGAGTCCAAGTCACATGACTCGAGTCCACACCTCAGAGGTGGGACAAAGTCATTGTTATGCAAGTCCAAGTCGAGTCTGAAGTCATCAAATTCATGACTCGAGTCTGACTCGAGTCCAAGTCACATGACTCGAGTCCACACCTCAGAGGTGGGACAAAGTCATTGTTATGCAAGTCCAAGTCGAGTCTGAAGTCATCAAATTCATGACTCGAGTCTGACTCGAGTCCAAGTCACATGACTCGAGTCCACACCTCAGAGGTGGGACAAAGTCATTGTTATGCAAGTCCAAGTCGAGTCTGAAGTCATCAAATTCATGACTCGAGTCTGACTCGAGTCCAAGTCACATGACTCGAGTCCACACCTCAGAGGTGGGACAAAGTCATTGTTATGCAAGTCCAAGTCGAGTCTGAAGTCATCAAATTCATGACTCGAGTCTGACTCGAGTCCAAGTCACATGACTCGAGTCCACACCTCAGAGGTGGGACAAAGTCATTGTTATGCAAGTCCAAGTCGAGTCTGAAGTCATCAAATTCATGACTCGAGTCTGACTCGAGTCCAAGTCACATGACTCGAGTCCACACCTCAGAGGTGGGACAAAGTCATTGTTATGCAAGTCCAAGTCGAGTCTGAAGTCATCAAATTCATGACTCGAGTCTGACTCGAGTCCAAGTCACATGACTCGAGTCCACACCTCTGCCTCACGCCGTCGATAACCCGACGAGCGATCACGACAAGCGGTGCTCGCAAGGCCAGCGGAAGGAAGCTGCAGCCAGAACCGGCCCTAGACCTTTGGGGGCCCTAAGCAAAATTTGGTTGGAGGCCCCTTTGATGTATGATTTTTTTTCACCCACTCGCTAGCAATGACTCTAGGGGGCCCTCTGCTGGCCACGGGGCTCTTTGCAATTGCAAGGGTCGCTTAGTGGCTGGGCCGGCTCTGGGTGCAGCCATCGCCTCTCTCGTGCCGCTCGATCGCCGACAAACCGAACGCCCGCACGCTTGGCAGCGCTTGCGTCTCGCGCGCTACGCCCGAGGCTTGGCTACCCACGTGGGAATGTGCAACGGGGCAATTACCAGAGCAATTTGGGGGCGGGGTGGGGGGGCGACACTCGAAGTGCCACCAGGCATTTAGGTCGTTGTAATTGCGCGTCCAAAATGATCTCTGAATGGACATATCCATTTCCCCTGGCTCGCGATGTGGCCGTTCTAAAAGGGGTCGTTGATTGTTAGGCAAGCTTGCAACAGGGTGGTGGGGTTGTCGTGGAGGAGCAGAGTGGAATATGGGTGTGCGGGCAAGGCTATTGGAATTCAGTTTTACGAGCCGGTTCTAACATACGATGGTATCTGTAAGTGCGATACTGTCACGAGAGGGTAAACGTACGTAAAATAATGTATTGTTAATGCGCACCAGCTCAATCAAACAGTTGTTTAGTGTTTACTTCTACATGTCTTGTGGCCAATCTCTCTGCGGAATTACCACTTTTGACTTTCCACAAAGTGGTTACGATTTAATTTCATACGTAGGCTTTCACGACCAATATTATGAGAAATACAGGGGGTTTTAAATAAATGGACCCAAATTCAAAGCAGTATATTTCACGATGGCAACATGTTACAATGACACAACAAGTTACAAACGGTTTAATGAGTTATCAAGTTTTACTAACCATTTTATAAATGCTCTATGTGCCCTCCACCTGCTGTACAGACAACATCGAGACGATAGTTGAATTCGTCCCAAACGCCTCTCGAAGTGTCTTCTTCCACTGATGTCACCGCTGCCGTGATTCTGTTTTTGAGGTCATCCGGATTAGTCGCTAATGGTGGCACAAAAACACGGTCTTTGACGTATCCCCACAAGAAAAAGTCGCAGGGTGTGATGTCTGGGGATCTTAGGGGCCAAGAGTGTAGTGCCAAGTCTTGGGGTCCTGTGCGACCTATCCAACTTTGACGCAGTGGGTCTTGTGAATGACTGAGGCTAGGGGCTGTTTGTGCGCTGGGACAGACATCAAGCAGTAATCATTTGAAACTCGATGCCCCGCCCTTTCAAGTGGCAAGAGTTTCATTCATGGGCGGTTCGTGGTTGCAGAAATATATACCCTGTAAGTGTTGTATTTTGGATTTGATCATCGTGTAAACAAGCTTGTTGTGAGCCTTCCTCCACTCTGCACAGTCTATTAATAAAGACTCACATTAATCAAACGTGCCAAACGTATTATGGCTTCAGCAGCATCACCACCAGTGTTGTTGCTGTTGCTGGAGAGGAATCTCACAACATTTACGTGGGTATGACGTATCAATGGAGATTATCTCCAGCATTCTCAGGTTAACAGGCACTAGCTCAGATCTCGACTACGAATAGATGATTAGGATGAAAGTTGGTTCTTTGACCAGGGTTTTGACTTTCAACTTTTCAAATGCAAGTCAAGTCCTCTAGCCAAATCACAAGCCAGCCCAATAAGGATGAAATCGTGAATACCAGAGATATAAATCATAACACATTTCAAAATGAAACGTAATGATGAGTGGTGGGATTTTTCAGTGGAGTATTCAACAATCGGCTGTCCACCACCTCTTGTACAGCACGTTAGCCGGTGGACAAAAAACCCAATTGCCTGTCTTAATTGTGCCTCACTGCAACTGCATTTCACACACTTGCAGTGCTCATCTCAGTGGAGTCCTGAAACCGGTGGTGGACAATCCACATTCGTATGGTTTGGTCCCGTCTTTCATTGGGTTGACCCACAAAGTGGTCCCAGTTGTACTGAAAGCAGAAAAAGTATAGCCTAAGTCACCCCCCCAACTGGGAATTGTGCTCTCAATCTTCCGCCCGCTGATAGAGCACTGCTCCACAAGCACCACCCGTCCGGAATTGGTAATTAACACGCGATAGAACATTATTCCTCAATGGCATATATAAAATAGGAATTTAAACTGAGGAAGGGAGAGAGTGGTAGAGTAAAGGTCACAGCCCATATTGGCATGTTTCCTGTCGTGACAAATACATCTTTGTAACAAGACTGATTGTTAAATTGCTTTGCGTTTCTTTGGGGATCACAGCTTGGTGCAGTACGCTCAGGTTAATTACACATTTCACCAATTAACTTTTCATCGGAGAACATTGCATTGTAATTGCGAGTAATTAAAGCTGTGTTTGCATAACACAATTTTAATTTAATTTGTTACAGCCCCTTCAGATCAATTGTTAACCGTTTGCAGATCTAAAATTGGAGCATATGCTCTGCTCTCACTAAACATTTTAGCTGTAATTGAAGCCATACTTTAAGAAATTATTTTCAATGCAAATGCGAATGAAATAATGGATATTTAATGTGAATGAGCGCGCGAGCCGTGCGTCCCCAATTAAGGATAAGAAAATCATTTTGCAAACCGTTCGTAATGACTTCAGTTTGTAAATCTTAGCTGCACACCGAAGGGCACTGAGCCAGTGAGTGTGACAAGTAGGATCCACTGACTGCACCAGTGCGAGCATGTGGTGATCCACCAAATGCCCCCTTTGCCTGCTGCTGGGGGGGGGGGGGAGAGGGGATATTAAAGACCCTGTGATGTTGTTGACAAGAGCAAGGCATTGCGTGCCACCCAACATTTCAAATCCCCCCCCGCTCCCACCATGAATAAATGTCAAACAATTCAAGATGCCCTGCAAGTTCAAATCCCGGGTGTGAGTTCGCTCAGCCTGTGAACTCTGTGTGGTTGATAAAATAAGTACCACTTTGTGTTGAAGGTCAACAAGTCGTTGTCCCATAGAGAGAATGGCGTCTGTCATAAGAAGAAGGCAGAATTTCCACCACTGGATCAGAGCTGCCAATAGATATGAGCACTGCCTCCCATTTCGTGCTGGAAATACCTAGACTTGACTCGTGTTTAGTGCATATGCAAAAAATACATTTTCGTAGAGAAAAAAGGTAACCGCCATCATCATTGTATGGAGCAATGAATCAGCTCACGTGCCGGGTCCAGATGGAGGGTTACAACGCAGGATCGCAAGCGATGGCAGTGACTTGGGAAAGCCTGCAGCTAGCAATGTATTGAACATGGCCGACGACGATGATGATTCATCCTATGATGAGACAATTATAGTGGGTGAAAACAAAATAGGAGGCCGACGTTTTCAGGCAATGTTGATGCTTTACTTTGAATGCGTCGGTGTCTAAAGTGTTTGCCCATCATATATATATACAATATATATTTATTTCATGAAGGCAAACAAGCAAATCGTCCTCCTGCTAAATTGAGCATCGGATCGTGTTCATTTGTTTACATTGGCAGCCCTCTTCTTGGTTCTTTCGGTAAAGTCACGTGGAAGGGAAGTAATAAAATAATAACAAATAAAACATAATAAAATTATTCTCACGACGTTTCGGCCACAACGCAAGTAGCCGTCCTCAGGTGAAAACCAGGTCCGTCGAGGCGACAGACTCGTTGTGGCCGAAACGTCGTGAGAATAATTGTATTATGTTTTATTTTTATTATTTTATTACTTCCCTTCCACGTGACTTTACCGAAAGAACCAAGAAGATGAATCCCTGCAGTCACGAAAGCTTTAAATCAAAATTGGCAGCCCTCTCCGAGCCAACGGCGGGATTCCACATTTCCGTGACGGGACGCTGCCGTGGCGTAGCGGTGAGCGCACGCCGAATTTGCAATCGACAGTTCGCCGTTTCGATTCGCTCTCTTGTCACGCCTCTGTGCGCGGCAGCGGAATAAACGGGTACACGACGGGTCCGTCGATGGGCAAGCACCGTGTGCAACGGGTTCAAAGTCTTGGGTAACCCCCACGTCTTCCAAGCAGGAGGCGTGAGCAAACGATTTGCGGAGCTGCGTCCTGAATGATGAGGGCACTCTTGGAAAAGGACGTCCACTGTTGAGCCCCCACGGGGAGCCGTGTTCGTGCTATCAGCATGAGCACTGTTAATGACGTCAGCGGTGAGATTTCATCAGTCTGAGATCGTACATCAATGCCAACAGATTTCACTTGGGTTTTATTTTTCATTTGTACACACATGTGCGTGTCGCGTGTAATTCCCATACATATACACACACACACATCCACACATTCAGTATATGAAAATGACACGTAGTATACACACGTAACACAAAACACAATGCATTTATAAACATATACACAGTCAAATTAAATAAGTGTATAGGGTTAAAGGACAATAAAATGAGTTATTTTTCTCACCGATACAGAAAAAGAAAACAAACTCGGTAAAAATAATGTATATCCTAAATATATAAAGACCAGCTTGAGCTCAACATTAAACGTTTCCTTGCCAGGCAGAAAAAAAATAAAATCACTTAAAAATAACGTTACATTCAACTTGTATATGATAGCAGAATAATTTAATTTACTATACAAATATACAAGAGACAAATAATTTGAATTTCTTCATGCACTGTTCGAAGAAGTGCTGTTAAGACCGACGTGGGAATCGAGGGGATGTTTGGGGCCAGAAAATGCTCGGTTGTTGATCGAAAGAATCCCACATCAGCTGCTCTGCTTCGCCTTGGTGGGTGCTGTGGTCAGAGATCATGAGTCACAATCAGAGAGCATGAGCAGTCGACTCAGTCCATCATCCCCTCAAGGTCGATATAACGAGGACCGCAGTTCTCCAATGTATTCTTCCACTTGTACAACATGTCGTTCGGCATGATGTCCGACGTTTCGCTCCAAGTGCTAGGAGCTTCTTCAGGAAAATTTATTTCGGTGAAGTCTGCCATTTTTTCCACGTGCTGGGAGCTTCTTCGGGAACTGAGTCGGTATTCATTTATTTTCCCCCATCACACTTAACAGCAGATAGCGGCCACAATCTGAAAACACATTGGAGAGCTGCATAGCACAACGGTGCACAGTCGTAAGAAGGGTACCACTTTGTGGGAAGTCAACAGTGGTCATTATAACGAAGAAGAGTGGCTCCCGGCATGGGAACGAGGAATTTCCACTGCTGGCTGAGTGCCGCCAAGGGAGATGACGCAGCCAAACTCTTATTGGAGTAAAGGTGCAATTTCTTTGTTTTAATCATCTCAGGCCTAGTCCACCTAGGAGAGGCCTGTGATAGATACAGATACCAATTGCTACTGGTATTTTGCTTGGCAAAGGGTGAACCCAGGTGACCAGAGATACGTGAAGCGCATGAACTACTATGCTAATTCTCTGCATTGTACACTGCACTCTACGCACACGCAGATAAGGGTTGCCAATGCAGCCACGTAAATGACAGTGACAAGCGCTGTTAGTGAGCACCAGAGGTGGGACAAAGTCATTGTTATGCAAGTCCAAGTCGAGTCTGAAGTCATCAAATTCATGACTCGAGTCTGACTCGAGTCCAAGTCACATGACTCGAGTCCACACCTCAGAGGTGGGACAAAGTCATTGTTATGCATGTCCAAGTCGAGTCTGAAGTCATCAAATTCATGACTCGAGTCTGACTCGAGTCCAAGTCACATGACTCGAGTCCACACCTCTGGTGAGCACCTATTAGGGGGGGGGGTATGACACGTGAGGCGGTTGTACGGCTATAGTACTGTGCTCAGCCACCTTTGTCTCTCCAGTGCAGATATCTGTCATTCCGACAGGCACCATTGGGGACTGTGGGTTCAGGTCAGGTGAGTAATGGGTTCCGTTTCAGGTTTTCTCGTGAATAAATCTCCGTGGCCTCCTGGGAGGCAGCAACCTGGTTCATTAAGCATCGCCACCGCTTCAAATTGCACACTTAATCCATTGATCACCTGCTCATGTCACCTGCAATTGCAAAACCCGGCACGGAGCTCACTGACCACCTGAACTGGAGTCACGGAATGCCACTCTCAGGCACTCATTTAATACTGAGTTGACTTCGAGGAGGCACAGGAGGTCCAGAACAAGTTCATATTCCATAACTGCGAATTGGACCCCTGTTGCTGGAATTGTCGCACTATGTGCTAACCACACACACAGATATATATACGCACACATTTAATCTGTATATACTCCCACAGTGGCTAGATTACACTCACACATACTTGTATGCCACCATGGCATAGTTTTTGACCGACCGTATAAAACTGATACAATGAGATGCATATTGGAAACTCGGTGCACAATAGCCTCGTTTGCATCGAGATTTGACAAGTTTAAATGGTCATTTAATTCTGCACCGAAGTGATTTTTGTTAATTCTGACATCGATTGATCACTGACACTGAAGCCTCTGCTGCCGTGTGCCAAGTTTCGTATTGCTCCTCCGTTTAAAAAAATGTAATAATTCACGAAACTGTTAACATCGAAATATAAAAGTATTGCCCAGCCATAGTGTATGACTTTATACGTAAGTATATATACAAAGATATGCACGGGGCTTGTGCCATAAGCAGTACCTTATGTGAAACATTTAAGCCAACAGTGTACAGTTTCAAGCACAAAAACAGTAAATTCCATTAAATGAAATAAAACATGCCAATACAATTCTTTCTGCTGCAGCTATTAAACAAACACGTGACAAAAAAAAACTCTTCTACACACTTAGGCTGTGCAATAAGCTTTCTTAAGTGATATCTGACACGCTGGCGCTGCCAAAATAAGCTGTGTTCCTGAATGTCCATTTAAAGTCTTTTTCTCAACAAGAACGTTTCAAAACTCATGTTGGAGAGTATTGTTCATTGAGCCTAGGTGTGTAAGCTACAATAGCTGTTTGTTGTTGTTTTGTGTCTTCTCTCACGTTGCGTGTTCCACTTACATCGTAACAAGTCCACAACGGACAAACCTCCCAATTATGACGCACGGCAGATCTTCCGAGCATTGTGATAAATGATCGCACTGGGGATATTCTGCCACAGTGGACAGATACTAAACCTTCGTTATGGGTAAAACTGAGCCACGCTGCAAGTCTCCGAACAGCCAGACTCGTTCCGTTCCAGGGCAAAACGGAGTCGACAAAGTCTGTGCAAGTCCGAGGCTATTGTTTGGGAAATGTGCACAATCACACCGTGCGCGCGCGCGTGTGTGTGTGTGTTCTAGAAGCCTGTGGCACTCGATCAACAAATAATTTTTTTATGAAAACTCACAATTAAAGTATGTTGAAAACGTTCTCCAGAATGCCATTTTATGTCCAAGTCCCATTCACCGCCGTCATACGAAATGTTATTTTATTTCATTTGTTGTTGCAGAAATGTCAGCAATCGTGAACGTGTCCCGTCTTCTCTCGCTAGCATGCTGCAGGATGGCTAATTAAATAATACAAGTTTCACGGCTACAAATTTAAAATTAAATCACATACTTATCGTTGCACTGCCAAAGATGTACACTCATCGCAAACCCTATATGGGGGGTGGAGGGGTGGTAAATCCACATTTCCGTTGTTTATCTCTTGCACGGCTTTCGATTCCGATGCCTGCTTGCCCATGGCCAGTAATCTGCAGTGGAAGTCTGTAGATCCAGCTGCTTTGGTGAAGGAGCGCAGACTACAATGTTTACATTCATGGGAAATCGTTTGGGTTGCATTGCCAAAATCGCACGACCGTGGCCTGCCATACATCTTTCATTCATGAAGGGAATGTGCACATCGGCCTGTCGATGTTCTCATGTGATTGATGATTCCACCACCAGTGTCTTCGAGGGAATGTCAAAGCCAGGAAATGCGACGATGTTTGGGTCTCGAATGAGCTGCATATTCAGGACGTCCACGTTGCTCCACTGTTAAACAGCATTCTTCCGGATCTGGGTGATATATACTGATAATAACAGAGTCGTTATAACCAGTGGAAACAAACTACATGGAGTTGTGGCCGAGCTTAATAAAAAAACGCTGTTAGGTGGAGTTCAAGGTAAATCTGAGCAGAAGAAACGTCATGCACAACTTTGCTAGCCAACTGGAGATACCCGTTGGGATGTCCCACCTGGGAAAATGTATTTGATTATTGATACCCAGGGAATTTATTAAAGGTGAAACGGGACCAAAGTGATGAAATAAAGAGGCAGAAGGTGTGATTTGCGGGAATTTAACTTCACAATGAGAAGCAAGAACAGCAATGAGCCTAAAAATGTATTTTAATCGGTGATTATTACGTGCTACGACAAATGAAACATGGACACTGACAAAGACACTGAGACCAAACCTGAAAAGCTTACAAAGAAGCATGGAGAGGTGCATGCTGGGAATCACACTCTTTGATTGAAAGAGGAACTCACGGATTGGATAAAATACTTAAGCTATAGACATCAAAATTAGGTAAAATAAGCGGGTGTGGGCAGGGAATGCAACTGATGATAAAAAACAAAGAACGCAATGTATAAAGTGAACATTATTTCCCGCACATGAATGACCGTGGCTCTGAGATCGTGGAGCTGGAAGGGGAAGATGGCCGGCGGCCGAGACTAAGAACGGAGCGGCAGCGACACGGCCCGGGAGGACGTCCACCGCGGAGGCGGAACGATGAAGTCAGCTCGTTCGCGGGTGCCAGATGGATTGTCACATCGTGGGGACCACAGGTGATGGCGACGTCTTTCGTTGGGCCTTCGTCCAGCAGTGGATAGACCATGGCTGATGATGAAAGGGACAGGTTGGGGAAAGCCTTGGCAGTCAGGTGCCGACGGGGTCAAGTGGAAGGACGCGATGGCAAGGGGTGGTGGCATCACCAACACTGGCTGCGATGAACTCTTGATATTGAAGACATTTGTCGACTGCTTCTCATTGCTCTGCTCCCTTCCGTGTTCGTACTTGAATTGTGGTTTTCACTTCTGGCCGGGTGACACTATTGGCAATGCTGCACCGTTGGACTTTACAAACTGGAGGGTCATCGGTGAAACATTTCTCATTGTCCTTCCAGGGTTGACAAAAACGAGCACACCACTGTGCTAGAAGTTCACAATGGTCATCTGATGGAGAGACTGGCCCCTGCTACTGCAATGTAGGGCTTGCCCCCACGCGACCAGCGTCACCCACGACGACAGAGACGGGCACTACCGCCAAGGTTGTCTGACGACGGACGCTTGCCTTGACGAACGCCTGACTTGAGCGTGTTTTTAATAAAGTGCACGCACGTGTTTGAAGAGATCCTCTTACAGCTACGTGGGACGCCACAAATTTCACGCATGCCTGCTAGCGAGCAAAGTTTAAACTGGCGAATTTTTTATGTTTTGCTTAATAACCACCGCTTTACCAATTTGTAAATCAGCCTAACACCACCCCCCCCTGCTCTCCACCCCGGCTGAGGCTCAGTGCACTCTTTGAAAGTCCTCCTTCTGCAACACAAGTCGTCGCGGCCCTACTCACTGCTTGAATCGTTAGATTTTTGGGGAGAAAGAAAAAAGTCAAAGACAAACCGCTCGAGTCACCCCTTGCTTCCGCTTTCAGATGGAACGATATTTTCGTCGAATAGCAACGACGATAATAAATAAATAAATAGAGCGCCCCACCCCACTAAGTAATAAAAAAAAAACACCTTGACGCCAGGAATCCATTCTGGGTAATACGTACGGACAGCGGTTTGGAGTTTTTGGGACGTAAATCTGCGACCTATTGACCCTGAGCGGGAGCGTCAGGTGAGCGCCGGCGGTGGTGGAATCCGAGAGCGGCGTGCGCAGACGCTGGGTCATCATCGTCGTCGTCGCTGTCCACCGCCCCCTCGGTGATTCGTCATTCTCCGGAGCGCTCCCGCCGTCACACGGACGTCGTGCGCTTGAAGCTGTGGAAGCTGATGCGCGTGGGCGACGTGGGGATGGACATGGCCCTCGTGACGCGCGCCTGCAGCCGGTGGTTGTCCATCCAGCGGTTCCAGCGCTTGCGCAGGGCAGAGCGCACCTGCGTGTGTGTGCGTGAGCGTGTGTGCGCGTGTGTGTGCGTGTGTGAGTGCGCGTGTGTGTGCATGCGTGTGTGTGCGTGTGTGTGTGTGCATGCGTGTGTGCGCGTGCGTGTGTGTGCGTGTGTGTGTGTGCATGCGTGTGTGCGCATGAGTGTGTGTGTGCGCGCGCGCGCGTGTGTGCGCATGTGTGTGTGCATGCGCGTGTGTGTGCGTGTGTGTGCATGCGTGTGTGCGTGTGTGTGCGTGTGTGTGTGCGTGTGTGTGTGCGTGTGTGTGTGCGTGTGCATGCGTGCGTGTACGCGCGTGTGCGTATGTATGTATGTGAGTGAAAGTGTTCGTGTGTGCATGTGTGCGTTTGTGTGCGTGTGTATGTATGCATGTGTATATTTGCGTGTTTGCATGTGCAAATGTTAGTGTGTGTTTTGAGCGTGTCAATGTGTGTGCAGCCATTAGTGTGTGTGCATGTGTTTTTGTGAGTGTGTTCATGTATGCGTATGTTTTAGTGTGTGTGCATGTATGTATGTATGTGTGGGTGCATGTGTGTGGGTTGAGATGGGTTCATAGATTTGTTGGTGAAAGATATGGTTGCATTGAAGGCAAACAGACATTGCTTTATAATCTGGAGCACATATATGTACAAATCTGATATGCACACATTGCTTATAAAGTGATTTGAGATGCTGTACAGCATTTACATATATTAATGTATCCTTACATTAACTTATAATTTAGTATAGATGTAGAAAATGTATACGTGTACAACACATTTCCATGAAAAGCATTTGCTGCATTGTTGAACTGTATTTGCACGTTTGTGGCTCAGTATTCGCTTACCTCCCCATTCAGGAAACAGTAGAATACTGACACAAAGAATCCCTGAAAAGCATGAAATACAACACCGTGTTAATGTGTTTTTTATTTGTAATTTTTAAATGGTGTCTTTTTTTCTTTTCTTTTGCAAAAAAACGCCATTAACTACGAACGGACATTTCGAGGTTATCACAGCCAGTAAACACGCCAACTTTGGGCCAACGTTGACTCAACGTTCCATTTAACATGTAGTAGTAGGCTTTCGCGACCAATATTATCCACAATAGGTTTTCTGAATTAGATCGTATAACTATGTGTCGGGTGGTGCTGGGTTTAACGACACATTTATATTTACGTGATCTAACCCAAAAAACCTCTATTCCATGTTTACTGGAATAATGCCACACACACTTGGCCTTCTCTTCCTTCCTATCTGATCCTCCAACTGGTACACAGGTGGACACCTGGCCTCCAAGTACTCAATTACAATCGACACAGAAATCATCGCCCCCCCCCCTCACTGAGAACAGTTGGCAGGATCTTCCTGATAAATAGACACGAGGCTAAGTGAGTCTTTTTCTGGGTCATAAGAAATAAAGTTTGCTGTTACAGGCTCACGGTCACTGACCTGCGTCTTCCACTGCCAATGGCTGTCTTATTCTTGTTACTTCTGCACTTATTTTAATCAGCAAATGCCTCGCTGAGTCTCATGACCAGAGGGTCGGCAGTTCTTTAAGGAACTGCTTCGTCATGTAATGTATGTGCGCACGTAAGTATGTGTGCACGTACGTATTCACATGCATTGGCGGCTCTTGAATGATTGAGCTTTGTACCGAATTCGCAAAAAAAATGTCTCTTCTTGTTATTTTGGTTGCCGACAGCCCTGCTGGTGACTCTTTGTCAGAAGGGCGCCTGCCAAGTTTTCACAGATATGGAAAGAAACTGCGAGAATCCGGAGGAAATCCGGAGGAAACCCACACATACAAACTCCACACAGAGAGGCACCCGAGTCGGGAATCGAACCCAGGCACCTCTTGCTGTGAGGCACGAGTCTTTACAACTGTGCCACCCTCGATGATGCACCAACTTCCAACCTGTACATGTGCCCGCCCATCGTAATCCGGTCTTCACGATTCCTCATCCAAAGTGGTTTATGCATTCTAGATTTGAAGTTTTCGTGACTGCAAGGATCCATACTATTTGTTTTTTTCGGTAAAGTCACGTAGGTAAAAAATAATAAAAATGAAAACAACTAAATTAAATCACCCAAAAAAAATATGAGAACAACTAAATGAAATCACGACGTTTCGGAAGCAACACAAGCCTCCGTCTTCAGGTGGAACCGCCACAGCAAAATGAGTGTAGTGAATAAAGAGAGCTGTTTATGCAGTCCATCGAAGAGCCCACTGCTGGCCTACCACGAAGCGGTGCAGTAGAACAGCGTGTAAGCTGTGACTCGCTGGGAACGTAGATTTGGGCAGTGATGTGAAAAGGGTCGAATACGTGAACATCTATCGACGGCTACACCACCACGTGTACAAACACTGCACTGAGTGTGGGGTGGTTCATTGGGCGGTGCGGATATGAGACGGTTAGATACGTGACGTATTGTATGGGAAACTACCAGACTTTTTTTTACGTGTAAAAGATAATATAAATAGTAAATAGAGTACGTAACATTTTATCCTTGAGCAGAGAATCATCATAATGCTATTAAAGTTTATCATAAAAAAATGTTCACGCCATGCACAATGGGTGAAGGCGGTTATGCGGCCGGTCGGATATGCGGCACTGTACTGCACTTGTTGTATCATCCTTCAGAATCAGACGATTTATTTTTACTGGAGAAATCCGATGAAACTATAAAGCTCTTTTTCACAGATGTCCAGTCGGGGGGGAGAGGGTAACAATGTTACAACAAAGAGTACAAAGACATTATCTTAGTGCAAAGTACAAGAAATGTAAACAAATCACCCAAGCACATACTGTACAAATAAAACTAAACCATCCCCATTCTACTAGGAAAAGCCCACTGCGGTGTTCACTTATTCTTCAGAAGCGACCTGGCCACAAATGATAGCTCAACAAAGTGGCCCATCATTTGGACATTTATAGCACCGAAATAATCTCAATGGACCGACTGGGTTTCAACCGGGATGTTTACCAGCCTGATGATTACGAGTCAAGGTCTACAACCACGGCGTCGTCGTACAAATACGACAAAAACAAAGAGATGAGGGTGGTCTGGGTGGGTAAGAGGCTTACTCGCAGAGGGCTCAGCTAGGGTTGATGAACTCTGAATAACCCAACTAATATTAGGCACTGCATATTCTCAGATTAATATGATCCATTGTAACTTATATGATTACATTAATCCCCCCTCTGGTCTTCGAACCTGATAGGCTCACAGAGTGATGACATCACATTTACTCCCTTATTTCAGACCGAAACAGGAGGACTTCTTCACAATTCTGGCTATCGCCTGATGAAGCTGGTTGCAATCATTACTCGAATTGTAAATGTTATGGGTTCACTCTCCAACACACGGGCGTGTGCCGAAGTAGTAACTAATTGGCACAAATTGTTTCCACGACCAAAACTTTACCAATTGGCTGAGTCGGGTGGTGACGGGGCGGGTTTAACGACACATCTATATTTACGCGATCTAACCCGTCCCCACCCCCCAAACCTATTTAATGGATAGGGTCGCTCTCTTTACCTGGAAGGACATGAGGAAGGAGTTGACGTAGATGAAGATGACCTGGGAGACGGGGTCTTCCCCGGGGTTCACGAAGAACAGCATGTAGGTGATTCCCAGCAGCGGCAGCAGCACCAGCGTGGCCTTCACCGCCTTCCTGCTCCAAGCAACACGGGCGGGGAAACCTTTAGGGGGGCCACAACGGCAGCACTAAACTAAACTAAAACTTTTAAAGTTTTATTCTACCCACTGAGCTATGCAGATTTTTTTCAGAGGTGTCATACCATCATGCAAAGCATCATACCAACGTACCTCGGATGCAGTGCAGAAACGAGCAAAAATAACATGCGGTAATTGCCTTCATTTACCCCGCAAAGTCGCATTGAGTTGTCAAGACTCCTCTTTAGGATGGTCCTGAATTGAGGATGTTTGGCCAATTTCGTTACGGAGAGTTTAACTGAATGTGAGAGGAAATCAAAGAAACGGGATAATATCCACTATGCATACGATTAAAAACTATTACACTATTTTTATTTACCAGGTAAGGCCCACTGCGCTATATTGCTCATTTCCAGAAGCGAACTGGCCACAAATGATAGCTCTACAAAGTGGCTTATCAAGTGGAAATTTGTAGCAGCCGAATACTATAAACGCACGTTTATAAATGTGGAGGAAAAAACGTGAGGACCCGAAGAAAAATCCACGCAACCACAGGAAGAGAGGCATGCAAATTCCAAATATACAGCAGGTGTCAGGGTTGGGACAGAACCCAGGTCCTCCTTTATACCAGACGAGGTAGTTAACATCTCGCCACCATGCCAGCAGCAGCAATAGTTACTTGTTCTCTGCCCCAAGTTGAGAAATTGTAGCAAGAAGGAAGAGGTGGTTAAGCGTGACTTAAAAACAATGCATGTATGTTGAACTTCTTTCGCACCGTACAAAGCCAACCGTGCTAATCGCACGTGTGGAGAAGAACAACAAACTGAACACAAAAAAGAAATGAGTTTTCAATCTAGATTGAAAATTGCGTAGCTCCAGTGGCTTCCTAATATCAGAGTGAAGAGCGTTCCAGACGGCCGCAGAAGTGCATCTGAAAGCACGCGATGCAGTGACCGTCAATTATGATGTACGTTGAACTTTTTTCATGACGGTGAGGATGATGTGGAAAAAGATGATGGCGATTTTGATGCAAAAAAAAGATGACATTCATAATTTGTTTTTTGAATGGGCCACATAATGATCTGACCAAATCTTTAATCATGAGGAACCCTCCACCACCCGACGCGGCCATACACATGCAATCGTGCCGTGTACTGCACAAACATTTAACGAGCCAATTATTCTCGTTTAAGCCTTTAGATTTGGCCACATAATGACGCGGCGGCCTCATCCAAAACTCAATTATGAATCCTAATAATGGCTGCTGTCACGTGTTGCGTTAAAGATGATCTTGATGGTGTGGACCAATCAGTTTCAAGGACAAAGCATATATTATCAGAGTGTGTTTTTCGTTTGCATTTTGACCACAAGTATTGTGGTTAATGCACACATGATTCCTTGTAAAAAAGGTTTCAGTTTTGTTGCCAGAAAAAAGGGGAAAAACCCTATTATTATATTTTGGTACTGGCAAAGGAGGTCTAATGATGATGATCTTGATACTCTTAGTTTTGTCGGTAAAGTCACGTAGGAAAAAAAATGAAATTAAAATTAATAAAATTAAATAATAAAAATCACGACGTTTCGGAGGCAACACAAGTCTCCGTCATCAGGTGGGACCGTCACAGCCAGATTTGCTGTATCAAGTGAGGCAGGGATCCCTTAAGTTGTATTTAAGAACTTGCATCTTGGAATCCCTGCCTCACTTGATACAGCAAATCTGGCTGTGACGGTCCCACCTGATGACGGAGACTTGTGTTGCCTCCAAAACGTCGTGATTTATTTTATTTGATTTTTATTAATTTAAATTTCATTTTTTTACCTACGTAACTTTACCGAAAAAACTAGGAGTATGAATCCTTGCAGTCACAAAAGCTTCAAATCTAGGATGATCTTGATGTTAAAAGTGGACGATTTTAACGATACATTAAAATGATTATGATGGCAATGTGCACTACTGGTGCTGCTGCAAAATACTGATTATCCATCGATTTCCCCTCCCAAAACACCTTTTGTGTATGCATACCTGTACTGGATGGTTTCAGAAGTTGTGGAGGCCCTAAGCTTGGTCATCAAAATACGCACGATGTTGAAAAGAAAAATGAAATTGACCTGTAGAGAGGATGGTACGAAGGCATGTTAAGGGTGTGCATGCGCGTGCACGTGTGGTGTGCCAATTTGTGTGGCTGGATATATGTGTATGTATTTACATACACACCTGTAAAATACTGGACATCTGTGAAAAAGAGCTTCACAGCTCATCGGATTCTTCCAAGTAAAAACTAAGATTCTGATACTGACTTGTATGTTAATAATTGTGGGAGCGGTGGTGCAGCGGTTCGTGCACTGTGCTACAAACCCAGTGACCCGAGTTCAATTCCCGCTCATGGCCAACCCCAGTGAAAATAATCTGAACTGGTCCCGGGCCTCCTCTAGGTCGACTCGGCCTCAAATGAGAACCTGGTGCAATGTGTAAACATCAGCACGTTGCTGGCCACCCACCCCCCTCGTGTGCTGTGCCGTCCTTCATAGGTGCTTGCTAACAGTCTTCTTGGTTCTTTCGGTAAAGTCTCGTAGAAGGGAAATATTAAAATAATAAAAATAAAATAATTAAATTCTCACGACGTTTCGATTGCAACACAAGCAATCATCAGGTGTGAAAACTACAGCAAGAACATTTTTGAAAACATTTTTTCGAAAACGTTTTGAAATATTAAAAAAAAAATTTTTTCTTGCTGTGGTTTTTACACCTGATGATGATTGCTTGTGTTGCAATCAAAACGTCGTGATAATTTTATAGTTTTATTTTTATTATTTTATTATTTCCCTTCTACGTGACTTTACCGAAAGAACCAAGAATATGAATCCCTGCAGTCACGAAAACTTTAAATCGAAATGCTAAGAGTCTATTAAGGCTACATGGGGGAGGGGGGAAAATCTTCGTCTTTGTTAGCATATATGTGTATGTGTGAGTTGTTTGTAAGTGAATGTGTGTGTGGATGTGTTTTTTCTAAGTTCATTTATCAAAAATACAGCAATTAATTTAGTCAAACAAATGACACGTACATTAAAAACCATGAGTCATTTTACATCGCAAGGTCATATGTCTAAAATAAATAAGGCAACAGGATTTACAATTCATGTGCTAATGAATTAATTATGGTTTTCAAACTCACAGAGATCTAGTTTCAACAACACCCGAGTGTGCATATGTGTGTGTGTGTGTACAAGTGTTATGGGGAGCAGTAGTACAGTGCTGAGTGCACTGCGCTAGGAATCAGTGACCCATGTTCGATTAAAACTTAGGGCCAGCATCAGTGATGAATATCTGAAATGATAACAGGCCTCCTCTCCAGGTCGAAGACACCCTTACATGAGTACCTGGTGCAGTGTGTAAACATCAGCGCTGGGGAGACAAAGGTGGGTGAACGAACGCAATCTGAGCCATTCCAGTCTCCATGCTCAACAGCCTCTTGAGGCTAAAGCAAGATATTTGTCTTATTTTTGTCTTTCCATGTGCATTTGTACGTATGTATGTATCAGCAGAGCGTAACCACCACTGTCAAGTTCTCGGATTAAGGCTCGTTCCCCAAAAACCCCACAAAAAATACAGGGGAGCATTTGTTACATCTGATTTGACGAGCAATCAGAGACTGATTTTGTTTTAAAAGTAACCCACTTTCAGCACTGATCTATGTGCTGCGGAAAAAAAAACACAAAGATACAACACAATCGGAAAAAAAGTGCAACTGACACACGCACAGTATTCATTACCAGCAGAATAACGGGTCCTTGGTAATCTATCTACGTGGCTTTACCGAAAGACCCAGGAATATGCGTAGTAGCTATTATGCATTATGCTACGATCACGGTGACCTGAGTTTGATTCCTAGCCATTAGTGGCAGCGGTTTTCTCAGCCGTTGTTCTTTCAGATCAAGTATCTGGTGTGGAGCGGAAATATCACGTGTTGGTGGGGACACATATGCGCAGGAATGATCCTGGCAAAATAACAGGCGCTTACAAACAGCACTTTCCACAACGGGTTATAAGGTTGCCGGGCTGAATCTCTGTCTGTGTGTTGTTTGAGTCTGTGTTTTTTTACAATAGACGTTTTGGAAGTGATTATATGATTAGTTTGTACCTGATGAAATTATTGCCTGTGCGATTGTAACCACCACCACCGTCAAGTTCTCGGATTAAGGCTCGTGCCCCCCCAAAAAACCCCAAAATACAGGGGAGCATTGTTACATCTGAAATGACGAGCAATCAGAGACTGATTTTGTCTCAAAAGTAACCCACTTTCAGCACTCATCTCTGTGTTGCGGAATAAACCCAAAGATACAACACAATCGGGAAGGTAGCGCAACTGACACACGCACAGTATTCATTACCAGCAGAACAAGTATAATGGGTCCTTGGTAGATGTAGTCGATGTATTTCCCTTCCGTTTTCCCAAACCAGCATCTGCAGGGCAATGCAAACACACACCACGGCAACATATTCTTAGGTTTTTTCGGTAAAGTCACGTAGGTAAAACATCAAAATTAATTAAAAATAAAATAAAACAAAAATCACGACGTTTCGGAGGCAACACAAGTCTCCGTCATCAGGTGGGACCGTCACAGCCGGATTAGCTGCATCAAGTGAGGCAATGATTCGAGATGTAATCCCTTGAATCATATTTATAGTCGTATGCATTATCGACACATACTGATTAGTTTTACAAAAAGTGAAGCGTCATCAGGTTTCTGTATTGGAATGAGCCAGGGATGTTAATCGCAAATTCCACATTTATATGTCAGCAGCCGGTCTCTGCATGGATTTTGTATCGCCCACAAAGTGGTAATCATCTTGTTGACCCAAAAGGGGATAAACGGCTGAATAAACTTAAACGAGGATACGAACTTATGACATTCTGAGTTTTATTCAAGCGCTCTGCTACGCTACTGCCTGGATGTTATATCCCAATGAGCCATTACAATTACATTATGCATGCATGGCTTAAGGATAATTACGTTTTATGTCGGATTATACTCACTTTTCATCTTCGTAAAATAGCTTCACCATCGCCCAGACTGTGATGATGGGCGCAGGGATGCCTGGAGTTAGACAAATGAGAAGTTTAAGAAAAATTAAAGTTACCATTTTCATTTCACATTTTGTAACCATTCATCAAAGTGTCTCCCTGCTTACGATGACATGGGGCAGCACTCGTCTTGAGCCAGTGGTGGAAATTCGACATGCCCAGGGCAAGGACCAATCTCTCCACTATCGATTTTCCACAAAGTCGGGCTCATTTTAAAATCCTTTATATTAAGTTCGCTTGCTTGCTTGCGTGCTTGCTTGCTGGCTTACGACCGTGCAAATCTTTCGGTCGTTTTTTAACCCACTTCCCGTGATCCAATCGAGCTGACATTTTGCACACAGACTCGTTGTGCGAGACAATTAATGTTCGTGAAAAAAAATTCCCAAAATTTTACACTTTTTAGGCAAATTTTTTTTATTTTACATATATTCAAATAGAACGCATTCATGGCTTTGGCTGAACATCACAGTATAAGAGCCCAGAGCGTAACCCCTCCACAGGCCGTGGCGGAGTAGCGCAGTTGGTAGCGCCCTCGCTTCCCATGCCAAAGGTCGCGGGATTGATCTCCGCGTCCTCCACAGGTGAATATATTTTTAAATCCTTTATATTAAGTTCGCTGCCACGCATATAAAGGATTTATGGTGAAAAACTTTGTTTTACGGGTTATACTTATTAAATCCTTTATATTAAGTTCGCTTGCTTGCTTGCTTGCGTGCTTGCGTGCTTGCTTGCTTGCTTACGACCGTGCAAATCTTTCGGTCGTTTTTTAACCCACTTCCCGTGATCCAATCGAGCTGACATTTTGCACACAGACTCATTGTGCGAGACAATTAATGTTCGTGAAAATTTTTTTCCAAAATTTTACACTTTTTAGGACAAAAATATTATATATAATTACCAATTGCTTAATGCTGCCATGCAATCATCTGACCCATAGGTGGCAGCCATCTCAAGCCAGAGGACGAGAGGACTCTAGCCGCCACGCATATAAAGGATTTATAGTGAAAAACTTTGTTTTTACGGGTTATACTTGTTATTGCATACGGAGGAGTGATTAGCGGAGTGGATGTTTGACCAGATATTACATTCGCAAACCTCCAACTGAGTCGGGTGTTCTAATCAGAGTGTCACATGGCCTGTGTAGACTACGTTTATTGATTTGTCCATCCACTGCTGGATGAAGGCCTCCTCACACCGTGTGAGTCATGGAGCATGAGCGTACATCACCACGCTGGTGGGTGCAGGTTGTTGAAGGTGGGGCTCAGCAACGGTTAAGAGATTACGTGCCACTGATGTGAGCTGCTTTCACATGCGCTTTTGTGGCCGTCTCAGAATACTTTTTCTTCCGATATCAGGAAGCCACTGGAAGCCATTGGAGCTATGCACTTTTACATCAAAGTTTGAAACGAATTTCTTTAGAACTGCTTTTTGTTTTTACTTTGTCGTCCCTCCCCCGCACCTCTGATCAGCACGGTTGACTATGTACGGTGCGAAAGAAGTTCAACAATACCGCAAGAACCGACCGGGTTTGATTCCCCGACCCGAACGCCTCTTTGCGTGGCATTTGAATTTTCGTCGCCTGTTCTGCGCGAGTTTTCCACCGAGTTCCCTGGTCGATGTCAATAACCGAAAAAAATTCCAGATTTATAGGCCACGTGCGTAGCCGCCGCCACCACCGCCCGACCGCCGGCCCCTCGTGCGACTGTGAGCGTAGCTGAGAGAGCGAGGGAGGGAGGGTGGGTATGCGGTGCGTAACACTCACACCAGCCGATGCACACGAAGATGGACTTGCGCAGCTTGTCCGTCGAGTACGTCATGACGATGGCCGTGTGCAGGTAGCAGCCCTCGACGAACATCCAGAAGAAGTTGGTCACTTGGAAGTAGTTGAACACCGTGATGACCACACGGCACCATGGCTGCGTGGGGGCGGAAGGCGTTAGCGAGAGGTTAGGGATGACGGCCCATCTCATCGGGCCTTTCATTCATTCACTCGTCAGTTTGCTTTCGACAGCGTATTGTCGTTGGATGTGGGAGGGAGCGGTGGTACAGCGTTCCCTCGTTGTTCGCGAGGGATACGTTCCGGAGATGATCGCAAATAGAAAATGCCATGGATAATGAAATTGGCTTACAAATATCGTATGAGCAACGTCTGCAGATGCTTATTAAGCTGCGAGAGGTTCTTTCTCTATTGCTCTCATTTCTTTATCACATTACTTTATCTCTCATCACCTTATCTCATCACTTTCTTTCTCTCTCTCGATGCAGTAATGTAGAGTTCCAAATGCGATTTGCGGATAGCAAGGTCGTGAATACAGGGGGAATACTGTGTAGTGGTTAGCGCACTGCGTCTTATGAATCCCGTGAGCACGAGTTCGATTCCCGGCCACAGTTTGCATCAGTGACGAGCGGCATATGTACCAGTCACGGATGCCCCCACCAATCTACATGACCAGAATGGTGAATTATGGTCAAACAACCTCCATGACCGATAATAATGGGGTGGCCTTTATTTCGCAGTGAATTTACTTTGGGGGGGGGGCTGGATATTATTATTATTGATCAAATAATTGAGATAACGTGAGGAATGGAAACCTTTAAGTAGTCTGCATTGCTGTTAAAGGTGATGCTGTTGCGTTAAGATGTATTACTGTCACCTTCCAGACTGCCAAGTGAGGGGGGCAAACACCTCACCCCTCCCCACCACCTTCCAGCCACACAGCTTGACCTCCAATGACCACACCAATTCAATTTGAGATATTTGGCAAATATGGTTTCAGACCAGTGTGACAGCTTGCCGAGATCGTCACAGCTTCTCAAATGAAGCGAATGTTAATAGTCGCAGGCCAGCCACTGAGGACGCGCATAAGAAAACCATTATATAAATTGGCCCACGTGCTTAATTTGGCAACGTAGCGCAGCTCCGAGGAGTTATTCTTCGCGGAGTAGGCACACGGAGAAAATGGCACGCGTATCTGCACCGCTGTGATAAGATAAGCTGCTTGATTGATGTCAGGGTGTGGACTGCGACGTTATGTCGAGGTCATTCCCCAGTGCGGAACATTGCTGCGCTGTTGAAGAGTGCCAGAAAGGAAACAGGAATTTTTCACCTTGGCTGGATGCCGACAGCAATTCCAAAGACCCGAGTTCATTAGCACACGACCTGAACAGACCAGGTTTGGCAATGTGCGAATGTAGGTGCAGGCATCTGAAGATGTCATTTGACTATTTTTAGTCATTGCATTTAGGTTGAAAATGCTCAGGCCTCTAAAAAACAATCATATCGCAAAGGCCTCTGCTTATTAAATACAAACAGATGCACGTGAGCTAGCATAATAATACATATACAAACACTGGTTTCATCATGGGAACTCCTTTGCCAGTACCAAAATATGATAATAGGTTTTCCCCTTTTTTCTGGCAACAAAACAGTTGTGTTAGATGTTAAAACACCAAACTGAAAGCTGTCTCTGGAGTGGACCAATCAGTTTCAAAGACAATGCATATATTACTCTTTGCTTCTTTCGGTAATGTCACGTAGGTAGAAAAAATAATAGATCACGACGTTTCGATCGCAACACAAGCAACCGTCATCAGGTGTGAAACAAACACAGCAGACTTTACCGAAAGAACCAAAGAGTATGGATTCCTGCACTCACAAAACCTTCAAATCAAGATTAATGCATATATTATCGGAGTATGTTTTTTTGTTTGCATTCTGACCATAAGAATTGTGGTTAATGCAGACATGATTCTTGGTACAAGGTTTCAGTTTGGTGTTTTAACATCTTAACCCCTGTTTTGTTGCCAGAAAAAAGGGGAAAACGTATTCTCAAACACTGGTGTGTTTAAACATTAAAAAAGCCAAACATTCTTATTTTATGATTGCGCTCGTTTACCCGGGGAAAGCCTCACCGAGTGTCTAACTTTTTAAGGGCTCCTGCCAAATGTGCGGCCTGGGGCGACGGTTGCTATTCAGATTCGAATTCATGCAATTTGTGAGCGATTTCTTATTAAAATTCAGCGTATGTGTCTCCATGACGCTGGCACGCGACATGACCTACTCTTGGGAACTATGCGCACAGGATGTGTAAGATCCACTTGCGAAACCGACGGTGCGCACATTTCCCCTGGTGAACTCACTCGAGCTAACATCCGAGACGGCCGCTGGATTTGAGCTGTGCGCAGCAAGTAGCAAAATAATTACCGTAATGCTGCACGTTTAAACCCCATTAGTCAAAAGGCTCATGTTTTCCTTTTGTAATTCGTTTACATATGCATCCTGGTCAGGTTTCAACTTTCAAAATGTCTACAGCAGAGTGTGGCCTGTTCAGAAAATATTCTGCTGGGTTGCCTGGAACCTAGACCACAATATCTGTCCAGAAGGATTGTTTTTTGATCGACCTAAATGTATTTTACATTAATGAGATACTTTACAACCCGCGTATTTCTCTCAGTCTCATACAACCACTATTCATACCTTTAGAGAAATGTGTCTGAGCACGGCAATAGTCTCCTTCCAAATGATCAGTAAGAGTCACACTAACACAATCAGTTTGGACAACCGTGTGATAGGCGTGCGAAAAAAAAAATTATTTGGTCGGCCGTGCCCTTGGTTCGTTGTGGGAGACTGGGGGTATGGAGGGCGGAGGGGAGAGGGCATTGCCAGCCGGAGCCTTTCATCGTACCTCGTTGCGCTCCTGCGTGCTCAAGTCGATGATCTGCAGGAGCAACCAGGCGGCGTTTCTTAGGATGAACGTGGTCACTAGGTGCCAGTGGATGGCATTACGGAGACAGCGGATGCTCCTGCTCGAAACGCCACGAACGGTCGCGCACAAAACAGGACAAGTAAGCCATCGCCCGCAGCCACAGCACGAAGCTCGCGCTCTCCGCACACCCTCGGCAATCGTGGCCCCAGTGAAGCCGTCAGCAGCTGGGCATGGACCAAAGCAGCGGGTTGCCATGCTGTGGTTCACCGACCACTGATTGACCCGTAAGCCCGTGTGAATTGGTCCGCAGAACTTCTTGCAGACACGGTTTGTGTTCACACAATGCCAGGGTTTCTTTTTTTTGTGTTCACTTGCATGGTGATTGTTCTGAATGTTGATAGCGGGTTGCACGGATCCAGAAAAGTTGGGAACTGCTGGGCTAAGTAAGCTGTAGCATTTGTTAGATTCTCCTCCATGCGTGGTCGGTACGACCTGCTGCGGTGAGACCGGGGATCAGTATCTCTCACTCGACATTTTCTGCAACACTGCTCGGCTGGCTTGGAGGGAGAAGGACTTTGATTGGCATGAGGCACGGCCACTGGAGAGCAACGTACGCCTATCCATAATGATCCTATGTCATTATTATACCCGAAACTATGATCTTATGATGGCAAAATAAGGAGAGATGGATGTAGTCTGCCTCCGATTAGCACGGTTGGCTGTGAAATAAGTTAAATGTACATACATGCCCGGAACAGCATGCCAGACTCTGACGGCTGAAATTAAGCTCTGAGTTACAGCCCACACACGAGAGTCATCGAAAGGGTGGAGATATATCTGATTCTTAAATTAACATTGGGTGTTACGCATCGCCACTGAAAGCCCTGCTGAGCTTGTGATGGATATTCCGCATTCTTATGACACGGGTCAGTATCTCAATTCGAAAACCACTGCGGACTTCCCACAACCGATGATTGCGTTATTTAAATCTGTGGTATCTATTCATCAGGCAATGATTCGCCGCCCTGCCTTGGAAATGTCCCGTTCACAAGTTGTGCTCACAATCTGATTGAGTAGTAGATTTGCTTTTGTCTCGTTTGCCCGTCTTGTTTGCACGCGCGATTCAATGGTGTCTCATGGACATGAGACTCAATTTTAATCTCTATTTTGGTGGTTTATTATATGCCCAATTTCTATACACATTTTAGCATGATATGATGACAGTAACAATAATCATTGTATTAGTCATGAAAGTCTCACTGAGTCTGAACACTTTTCCAAAAGGGCCATGAATTTGGGAGTTTGGACAATTCCACGAGGGGGAAAGAGAGTGTGTAGGGAAACCCCACGCGTGAGATGGAAATAACAATCAACAATCGGTAACGGGTGGGCCAGCGACCGCTCCTTTCATTTCCATCGACTGGTCATCCCACAGTCCCGGAAGGTTTGGAGAATCAAGCACGTAGTAACATGTACGTACGTATGGATGTTAAACATATTTTGCACCATGCGTCGCCAACCATGCTCATTGGAGGTGCATCTCCGCGTGAGCCATTAACATCATCCTCCAAAGAGTCAACCAACGATGGCCAGCACGGGCGACTTTGCAAAGAGCGAGACACCAAAACAGGCTTTTGAGTTCACGGCCGTGCATCAAAAGGGATGCCCTAAGAAATTATCCCGCCACCTTCGCCCAACACCCCCCCCCCCCCTTACCCTCCCCCAAACAGCAGTGAGCAATGATGTTCGATGAATATTTTAGCATGTCTTATACAGCCAAATAATGCCTTGAGTGCTTTTAGGAGGTAATATATTCGAGGCTAACGAGCACGTGTGCCGGTGTAATTTACGCAGCGTCAGCTTCCAACTGCTGTCCTTGAGGGGCACCTATTTGTGTCGCGAGGCGGAGTAATTAATGGTTCTTTCGCCGCGAGTCCCAATAAAAGTCTACCACGAAAAAAAGCCCTTGCTTCAATCAATCTTGTTGGGCCAAATTGTGTGGTAAATGTGCCACAAGTAGAGGTGACTGGGTAGGTCGGAGGGGCTTACACCAGGGATGATCGTGCCGAGGTCCTGTTTTTAAATCCGGGCGGCCAACCGTGATCAACCGACGTTATTAAGAACAACGGAGGTAATCCTCTCAGCCCAGTCATCAATCAAGTAAAAGCGTCCCCGTGATCAAGTGACCATAGAATGGTGCTCATCTCCATTGACAGCCCTGAGCCAATAGAAACAATTCCACATGCCCACGTAGGGGGTCAGTCTCTCCAGACGATGATCACTGTTGACTTTCCCGAAAACCAAAGAGGTACTCATTTAATCATCCCGAGGGATGATGACGACCGTTTGTGTTACGATCGAAACATCGCGAGTTTTTATTTTTTTAAATTTTTTTTATTTTCTATCTACGTGACTTTACGGAAATAACCAAGTGTGTTTTGAAGTCACGACCTTCCGATTGCAGAGAGAGCATTGCCGCACACAGAGCTGAAGCACAGCGTCACATATCCGACCATCACGTATCCGCCCTGACCAATTAACCGCCGGCATCTATTGCAGTATTTCGAGTATGGGTGTAATTTTCGATAGATGTTCACGTATCCACCTTTACTTGAGTCCACCCCAGCGAGTCGGGTGTGTAATATTGCGTGGCGTGATGAACCACAGCGCCACTCTGTCGTTCACGGGGCTATTGCAATGTCACAGAAGGAATTTTTATCAATATGTAATGCGGGCGCGGGCGACCTCCCGGATGTGACGTCACGGAGAGGTGGAGTTAGGTGACGTGGGAGCAAGGTTAAGGTTCTTAAGGGATGAGACCGGAAGGAGACGGGAGAGAGTGAGAGACTGGACAAGAGTAAGGCCACGTTGGGCGAAGCCAGGAAGAGTGGCACCGGCGGCCAGCGGTGGCCAGCTAAGGGAGCAGCCAGCGGAGCTGCGGGAGAAGACAGCAGTGGGGCTGCTGGAGAGAGAGCGGTTGAGGAGCTGCGGGGAGCACAGCCGGCGAGGCTGTGTGTGAGAGGCTACGAGAGCGACGAGAAGAGAAACTGTAACGAGTGCAGCCAGTGGGGGCTGCGTGAGGGTAACAGCGGCGAGGCTGCTGGGAGGTTACGAGAACAACGGGAGACCAACAGCGGAGCTGTTGGCGTGACGGGAGTAACAGCAGTATCAGCGCGGTGCGGGAAGCCTCATAGAAGGACAGCCGTGTGGGTTACGAGAAAGAACCGAATAAAGGACACCAAGCCAGACTTCGTAGTCGAGTCCTTTATTACATTGGTGTCGGAAGTGCAACGGCATGTCGAAACAAGTGAGAAAAAAAAATGTTCCAGCGCCAGCATCGGCTTCTTCGTCCGAAGACGACGACTTCCCTCCAAACATGGATCCTGCCGGGGTGGTGGAGGAGAGCCCTGCTGAAACGAGTGCGGGGACTGGGGTGGAAGATGTAGCCGCAGTGTCGGGGCCGCCGACAACATCAGACGCTGATCCGCGATGGCTGCAGGTGGCGGAGCAACTGGAGACTCTCAAGGACGTCCTGGGCCAATTGTGTCATCTCGTCACCCCAAGGACGGCGATGGAGAGAGCGGAGAGTGCTCCACAGACCGCCACAGTATCTTCGCTCCCGGCGCCATCGGCCACGCGGCAGGAGGCCGCTATCTTGCGCGTTCCGCGGCGGGAAACCGCCATCTTGACCACGCCGCGGTTCGACGCCATTTTGAATTTGCCACCGGAGGAGCCATCGGCGGAGGGCGGAGTAAAGAGAAGTCGGAGTCGCCATCTCACCACGGTCAAAGAATTCGCCATTGGGGGCGACTGGAGCGCTTTCGCCTGCAGATTTTTGGCGGCGGTCCGTTCTGCGAGATGGACCAATGCTGAGGCCTTAGAAGTGTTGCCGACTCTTCTGGACGACGAATCTGTTCGATTTTTTCGTTCCATTAAGGCCGAAAAGAAGAGGACATTATATGGAGTTTTTCAAGAAATGGCCGACGCCTACGAGCCACCTGACGACGCGCATCGGCGATTTGCTCAACGACAACGAGCGCCCGAGGAATCGCCCGTGGCATACAGGGGTGCGGTGCTTGATTTGGCTATGGCCGCGTATCCAGAAACAACACCGGACCTGCTCGAGCCTCTCATCTTGGGCAAGATGTTCGAGCTGTCGCGGGATCTTGGGATTCCCATGCCGGTGTGTGGGCATGAGAAGCTCACTTCCCGGGCGGCGGCAAAATGTCTGGATGCACAATTCAACCTCCGACGGTGGAAACAAGTCGCGGCGTGGACAGGGGGGCCCGTCGCAGAGGGTGGCGCTCTGGGTTGGGACCCTACGAAGTCGGTATACGTGCCGGATGGGGGGGGCCCTCAGGAGCTGACGGCCGCCTCTGGGCCATGGTCGGGCCGTGGTGGGCCGGCCTCTCGCGCTGCACCACCGGTACGGGGCCGGCGGGATGCAAGGCCTGCGCTTCGGCGCAACGACGCCGATTGTTTCCGCTGCGGACGGAGGGGCCACTACGCGAAGGACTGCTGGGCCCGCATCCCGGGTCCGCCGCAACAGGAGGCCTCATCAACGGCCAAGCCGACTAAGGAAGCACCGAACCAGGCAAGTCGGCACGCACCAGACACCCGGCAAGGCTTTGCACCTCACCCATTACCTTCGTTGTGCGATCCGAATGTTGTTGTTGATGAGAGGCCAGCCACGGGGCCTTGTCGCTCGGTGACGCAGTGGCGCAAGTTGGCACGGAGGGTTGTCGCGGCCGCTACGGGTTCGTCCACCGTACCGGGGTCTATACAAGGGGTGGACTTGCGCATTCTAGTCGATTCCGGCGCGTCCGCCACTATCATTTCCGATGTCATTTTCCATCTGTTGGGCATCCCACCCGGGGCCGTGCGTCCGGTTTACGGGTCATGCGTCGCTGCGAACGGGACGCTAAAATAACTATTGGGGAGGTGTCGGCTTCCGGCATGGTGTTGATTTCAAGGTCCTTGGCAGTTCCATGTTTATTGGGCACTGATTTCCTGGCTAAAATGCCTATTTTGATTAAAATTAATGAGAATTGTATTGAACTGCCAGGTGCCCGTCAAATCTCCTTTCTGCCCTCGCCCTGGGGGCGACCTGCTTCAGCCGTACAAGTGCAGGCGCTGTCAGTGGCATCTGTTGACATCCCACCTGGCTCACGGATGCTTATTCCCTTGCGGTATCGGAAGCCCCTGCCTGATCGGCTAAGAGAGATTGGGGTTTTGTTGTCTCCGTCAGCCTCGATAACGACCGGATTGGCGCTGGTTGGGGCACAGACCATCGTCCGGCCGGATCAATTACCTTTTTTACAGGTGCTCAATGCGGGTGCAGAAACCGTCTGCATTCCGGCTGGTACGGTCGTGGCACATGCCACGACGGCATTTACGGCTCAGGATTGTTCGCATAGCCAGAGGGTGGTTGCTGGGGTTTCTGAGCCGGTGCCTTCAGATGATCGCTGGATTGCTAAATTGTGTGACGGAAACTCTTCCCTGTCCGTCGATCAACGTGGTGCGCTTCACAAATTGTTGTTGACGTTTTCGGATGTATTTAGCTCCGATGATTTGGATTTGGGGCGCACCTCGTTGCTTCACCATCATATTGATACAGGCGACGCTGCCCCTATTCGGTTGAATTCGCACCGAATGAGTCCCGCCAAGCGAGACCACGTTCGGGGGGCGGTGGAGGACATGTTGGCTGCGGACATTATATCGCCATCTAACAGCCCTTGGGGCGCGCCTGTGGTTTTGGTCAAGAAAAAGGATGGCACATTGCGATTTTGTGTTGATTTTCGCAAATTGAATAAGATTTCAGTGGCAGATGCGTATCCCCTGCCGCGTATGGACGACTCCCTCGATGCATTGTCGGGGGCCAAGTTCTTTTCCACACTGGACCTCTCTTCGGGATTTTGGCAGCTTCCCCTTGACGAGCCCTCGCGGGAGAAAACCGCATTCCGTACGCCACAGGGGTTGTTTCAATTCAACTGCCTTCCGATGGGGCTGAATGCGGCCCCTGCCACATTTCAAAGGCTTATGGAGCTCGTGTTGACGGGGTTGCAGTGGGAGACATGTCTCATATATTTGGATGATATTATTGTCTTCAGCCGCACATTTGACAAACATTTAAGGCGGCTGGAGACAGTGTTCACGAGGATGCGCTCTGCCAATTTGAAATTCAAACCAAAGAAATGTCACCTACTGCAACGGTCCGTCCGTTATTTGGGGCACATCGTGAGTGCTGAGGGGGTGTCCACAGACCCGGAAAAAAACGGCGTGCGTCCGGGATTGGCCTACTCCGGCCACCGTGGGGGATGTACGTCGATTTTTGGGATTTGCCTCATATTATCGAAGGTTTGTGCCGAATTTTGCGACGATCGCGAGGCCCTTGCACCTCCTTACGGGTAAGGGACGTAAGTTTGCGTGGGGACCGCCGGAGGAGGCGGCCTTTCAGAGTCTGCGCGATCTGTTGGCTACGGCCCCAACATTGGATTATCCCGATTTCGATCGCCCATTCATTCTTGATACGGACGCGAGTGACACAGGTATTGGCGCGGTATTATCCCAGTCTAGAGGGGGCGTAGAGCGTGTCGTGGCGTATGGTAGCCGGGTCTTGTCTCCCACGGAAACCCGCTACTGTGTCACTCGCAGGGAACTCCTAGCCGTTGTTTTTTTCCTACGTCAGTTTCGACCGTACCTGTACGGCCGTTCCTTTATCGTACGTACGGATCATGCGGCCTTGCAATATGCCCTTAAAATGGATCAACCTTCCGGCCAGCTGGCGCGTTGGTTGGACACGCTACAGGAATTTTCATTTCAAATTCACCATCGCAAAGGGGTGCGCCATGCGAACGCAGACGCACTTTCTAGATTGCCGCAGCGCTCCCCTTGCAAATGTGCGTCGGGGACGCATAGATGTACGCCCAGCCTACCCCCCCCTCAGCCGCTGGTGTTGGCTGTTGAGGAGTCGGATGCTCCTGTGGAACCGGGGCCGACTGATGGGGTTTTGAATCTGCCACGGTCTGTTTGGATAAGGGAGCAGATGATGGATGAGTCGTTAGTGTCCTTGCGGAAGCGATCTAAAGTGGAGATTGGGGGTCCGGTTACGGAGGGTGCGCCGGAAACCGCGATCCGAGATGGTCTGCTCATGTGGAGGGAAGGTCTCCAGGAGCGCTGGCGTCTGGTAGTGCCTGCGTCCCTGCGATACAAGTTGATTAGAACTCTCCATTGTGACACGCTATTACATCTGGGTGTGCAGAAGACCTTGTTGACGTTGCAACGTCATTATTTTTGGCACGGCATGGCGACGGATGTCGTGGGGTACGTCCGCGCGTGCCCTGACTGTGCCTGACGTAAGCCACCTAAACATCCTTATGTGCCGCCTTTACAGTCAATTCAGGTGTCTCGGGTTAATGAATTGGTGGCACTGGACATTTTGGGACCTTTCCCACCATCGGCGAGGGGTAATAAATATTTGCTGGTCGGGGTTGAGTACCTCTCCCGTTGGCCGATGGCCTGGCCGTTGCCCGACCAATCGACCGTGGCCATTACCGATGCCTTTTTGTTCGGATAAGTTATGGACAAGGGTGCGCCGGAGAGACTCCTCACGGACCAGGGCCGAAATTTCTCTTCTAAATTATTGGCGGAAGTGTGCGCGGGCCTAGGAACTAAGAAGGTCCGGACATCCCCATACCATCCGCAAACGGATGGTATGGTTGAGCGGCTAAACCGGACATTGTCTGCCATGCTGTGCCATACGGTGAGTGAGCAACAATCGGATTGGGACCTGCACATCCCGGCGGTGCTTTCGGCGTAGAGGATGACTCCTCATGCGGTTACGGGTTATTCGCCGTTTTACCTTATGTATGGTCGGGAAAACGTGCCGCCGATGGATGTGCAGATGGGAACCGGTGTAAGGGGACCTTGTAAACCACTCCCTGACTACATTCGGGACACTGTTCGCCGGGTCTCGGAGGCGCGGGAGAGTGCCCGCGTGGCTACGGCCAAAGCTCAAGCCCGGAATGAGAGGTATGCGCGGCGTTCCAAGGGGGAATGCCCCTGGAAGGTTGGGGACCTGGCCTGGCTCCATTGCCCGCAGGTGCGGCCGGGTACCTCTCCCAAATTTCACAAACCTTGGCAAGGGCCCGTCCGCCTCATTGAGGTTCCTAACCCTCAGTCGGCGCGTGTTCAGATTGGTTCTCGCCGTTGGGTTGTTCACACGTCGCGCTTGAAACCGTATGTTGCTCCCCTACATGATGCGTCATCTCCCAATGTTGCCTTGCCGGGGTCTGTTGCTGCCGACTCTCCCCCGCCTGCGTCTATTGATCTTGCTAGAGCGCCTGTCATACCTGTTCCAGGCAGGCCGGCCTTGACACCACAGGGGACGAGGCGCCCTGCTTGGAGGGTGCCTGCCAGATCTGCGGGAACTTCGAGCTCTGCAGCCCTTCCGACCCCGCTGCAGACACATCCGCGGGACACGCCCGAGACTGATCCTTCAGGGACACGGGACGTTGGTGGACTTCCAACAGCGACAGTGGGATTTCACCCTGTCACTCCTCAAACTCCATCACGTTCCCGTTCCGCGGGTGGGCCGCCGACCGTCCGGGACGGGCCGGCGACCCGCACACGTTCTAAATCCCTTGTGTTTCGTTGATTGTTACGTTGCATTATTGCTCTTACTGTGTATTTATTGCCTGCTTCTGGTACGTTACTTGATTATTATGCTCTGTTGATTGTTCTTACTGTTATATTGCATGCTTGGTGTCCTTTGGTGTGTCAGGGTCGGTTTCGCCCGCATTACTGTTGGTGTTGTTCAGCCGAGGTCGGCTGGGTTTTTCTCCACGGGGGAGGGTGGTGTAATGCGGGCGCGGGCGACCTCCCGGATGTGACGTCATGGAGAGGTGGAGTTAGGTGACGTGGGAGCAAGGTTAAGGTTCTTAAGGGATGAGACCGGAAGGAGACGGGAGAGAGTGAGAGACTGGACAAGAGTAAGGCCACGTTGGGCGAAGCCAGGAAGAGTGGCACCGGCGGCCAGCGGTGGCCAGCTAAGGGAGCAGCCAGCGGAGCTGCGGGAGAAGACAGCAGTGGGGCTGCTGGAGAGAGAGCGGTTGAGGAGCTGCGGGGAGCACAGCCGGCGAGGCTGTGTGTGAGAGGCTACGAGAGCGACGAGAAGAGAAACTGTAACGAGTGCAGCCAGTGGGGGCTGCGTGAGGGTAACAGCGGCGAGGCTGCTGGGAGGTTACGAGAACAACGGGAGACCAACAGCGGAGCTGTTGGCGTGACGGGAGTAACAGCAGTATCAGCGCGGTGCGGGAAGCCTCATAGAAGGACAGCCGTGTGGGTTACGAGAAATAACCGAATAAAGGACACCAAGCCAGACTTCGTAGTCGAGTCCTTTATTACAAATATACTGTGGTTCCTAGCTCGTATGTTGTGCACAGCCTTACCGGAGCCACCAGAAGAATCCAAATGCGGTGATGAGGGCTGCCAGCGAGATGCAGTGTCCTAGGTAATTGACGATGAGTGCAATTTTGTAGTGTTGGCTGTTCGGCTAAATTGAAAGAGACGGGTGGAATTAATTCACGTATCATTTCAAAGACACTCAGCTCACATTCCACGGCATTAACAAGTAATGGGCATGAAGATGACTTTGAAATCTTTTTTTTGCATTGCAAAGCTGACACTGTTATTAAAAGAAGGGGAAAACTTTGAATCTCGTTAAACCAAAACATGTTTTAACTATTGATTTGAAGCTTTCGTGACTGCAGGAATCCATACTCTTTGGTTCTTTCGGTAAAGTCCCGTAGGTATAAAATAAATCACGATGGTTCGGGCGCAAATGAAGCGTCCGTGGCCTCAGCAGCAGACCATGCTTTCCCACCTGATGACGGACGCTTGTGTTGCGCCCGAAACGTCGTGATTTATTTGATTTGATACCTACGTGACTTTACCGACAGAACCAAAGAGTATTGTAGTAGGTTTTTACCCTTTTAAACTGGTATAAAACTGACACCTTTATTCAAGGCATCATGTTTGCAATAACCACAACACAAGTAGTGTGGTTATTGCAAACATGATGCCTTGAATAAAGGTGTCAGTTTTGTACCAGTTTAAAAAAGGGTAAAAACCTACTACTATAATTTGCCACTGGTAAAAGAGATCTCATAGTGTAAATGCTTACCCCGAGCTCTCAATACTCTGATATTGCACTGTGTTTGAGTTGTACGCCTTCTGGTGTCATCTGGTCCAACACCAATGGGGACTAGGCTCTAAAGAAAGCCGTCTCGGGTGTGGACCAATCAACTTCAAGGACAGTGCATATTATTATCAATATCAGAGTTGCTTCTTTTTGTTTGCTTTTTTGACTACTTGTGTTGTGGTTATTGCAAACATGATGCCTTGAATAAAGGTGTCAGTTTTGTACCAGTTTAAAAGGGTAAAAACCTACTACTATAATTTGCCACTGGTAAAAGAGATCTCATAAACCAAAGAGTATGTTTTAATTAGCATATACGCCAGAATTTTACGAACGTTCTCCCCTTTATTTTCCACACAAAACCATCTAACCCAACCGGCTTCCCCGAACACCCAAAGGGAGGGGTCAGATAAAATTATTTTCTGGAATAATGATCATTTGTGTGTGTGTGCATGGCCCCACATTATATTTGATGGTCAAATTGAACTTTGACTTTGGTCAAAAATACACGTGAATCTCAGATAGGAGATGTGCAATACCTATTGGAGATGCTCGAATAGCACTCAATGAAAGTAAATCAGTGTCTGTGAAATCTACATCTGCGAGAGGAGCATGTAGTTTCTCTACGAACGTGAAACGAGGTAACTTTAAAACTAAATCTCCACGTATATAAGGCAAAGTTGTGAATGTGTGTGTCTGTTCAAAATGTCTAGCGTACTTCCCGACATGCAACAAACTGGAAATTTGCCATGTGGGTACTTTCCAGACTGTACACCATGCAAACATTATAAAAATACACTTTTTTTTGGGAGGGGGGGGGGGGAGCTCAATAATGCAAACATTTTTTGCACAGCAAGTGGGCTGTGATGTCAAATCTGTCATGTGACCCGCGCATGTGGAAGCGTAACGCATTGTAGTGTAGTGGTTAGCGCGCTGCGCTACGAACCCGGCGACCCGAGTTCGATTCCCGCTCACGGCCACCACCGGTGACGATTATTTCAACCGCTCCTGGGCCTCCCCTAGGTCGACTCAGCCTCAAACGAGTAACTAGTGTGGTGTGTGAACATCGCCACTGGGGAGACAAAGGCGGCCGGGCGTGGTAGATCCAAGTCCCGGGCGAAGCCGGGTAGTACAGCTAGTCTATAATAAAGGTTGTTTGGGTTAGATCGCGTAAATATAAATGTGTCGTTAAGCCCACTACACTCGACACAGCCAATTAGTCAGGTTCGTCACGTACACAGTACGTGCCGATTAGTTACTAGTTGAGCACACCCTCGTGTTGGAGAGTGAACCTACGACGTTTACAATTCGGGCACGACGTTTTGCTGGCGATTACAACCAGCTTCATCAAGCGACAGCCAGAACTGTGAAGAATGCCTCCTGTTTCGGTCTTAAATAGAGGGAATAAAGGTGATGTCATCACTGTGGGACGATCAGGTGCGGGGCTAACGTCGTCATGTAAGTTACAATGGATCGTGTTAATCTGAGAATATGCCGTACTCATTATTGGTGGGGCTATTCCATGAAACAATTATCTTTGCCAGTGAGCGATAGGTCGCTGTACAGAGATTTGAATGACTGCGAATGTGAGGTTTAATTTAATTAACTCTATTAAAGAAAATGGCGATCACTTTAACAGGCAGGTGTAATGAAAGTGAAATGTGATCGAAGTGATGGATTCCCATCAAAGGCGGCCAGTGATTGTTCCAAGCGGTGTCTATGAAAGAGAAAGAGACCTCCTGCGTATTATATCTACAGATGACACTCAATGACTTGAATTGCACTCGATGTCAACGCACCTATGCATGTGAAAGGTGGTAATCAAGTGAAGCGATTGGACTTTTTTTAATTTAAATTAAACTTCAGCCTAAACACAACGATTCATCCGCCATGCAGCCCCCCACCGATGTGATGATGTGTTATGATTCAGGGCGATGAGTTCCGTTCAAGAATAGATTCATTTTAAACAAGTGTGGTGATTTGGCGGCATCTCATTTTATGTATAAACGTCAAACATTCATTGTTAAACACCTCGTCCGATGTGTATATATCATGAGTGCAAGGGTTCACGTTAATCAATGCACGGATGCAGCCTTCCAGACTCGACTATTTAATAACTTATTTGGTGATTCTGCATTGGCGGTGGTGCACAAATAACAACATGCCGCAACGATAGAACGGCCATTGTCCGAAACCACGACTTGTGTATCGTTTTCCTTTAAAGGCCACACACCATTGTCGACATTGAGTTTTCAACTATCTCAGTTTTTCATATATCCACGTTGGAGGGGACTGTCGTGTTGGTTGCACGTGTCCGTGAAAGCAATTTGGCAGTCGGCAGGCAACTTCAAAATTAACACCGTTTCAGAAATACCCCAGCACTACTTTCACAGATTCGTGCACAGATCCGCTCAGACTCAAGGCCTCTAGGTTAGTTCACCCCACCATACATTCACTGCACATCACCCTTTTCCATTTTTAAATCCTTTATATTAAGTTCGCTTGCTTGCTTGCTTGCGTGCTTGCTTGCTTGCTTACGACCGTGCAAATCTTTCGGTCGTTTTTTAACCCACTCCCCGTGATCCAATCGAGCTGACATTTTGCACACAGACTCGTTGTGCGAGACAATTAATGTTCGTGAAATTTTTTTCCCCAAATTTTACACTGTTTAGGGAAAACAAATTAAATATTTAATTACCAATTGCTTAATACTGGCAGACAATCATCTGACCCATAGGTGGCAGCCATCTCAAGCCAGAGGACGAGAGGACTCTAGCCGCCACGCATATAAAGGATTTATAGTGAAAAACTTTGTTTTTACGGGTTATACTTATTTCCCCTTTCTCCTCTCTCTCTCGTGCTATTCCTCCCCCCCCACCACACACCGTCTCTCTCTTTGCACCCAATTCAATGTGTCAGGCTGGTGGTATACTTTCCATGGGCGACGATGCTAATTAATAATGAATAAGGATCGCATTTCGATGTACACGTGTATCCCAGCCATCCTGTTGTTTCATATTCTTAGTTTTTTTCGGTAAAGTCACGTAGGTAAAAAATAAAAAATTACCTACGTGACTTTACCGAAAAAACCTAAGAATATGAATCCTTGCAGTCACGAAAGCTTCAAATCTAGAATTAACATCCTGCTGTTGTGTACTCGGACCCTGGTTTCCCTCCGTATATATCGTTGTTGTTATTGTTTAATGCAAAAAAACAAAACAATGTATTGCTGGTAAAGTGTGTAATGAGGGACAGAGCACACACTGACCTTGGTGTCGATGATTGGCTTGCACAGGGAGTAGTTGGAGCGCTGTGCCCACGTGCCATTTGCCAGGCACTCACGGATCACACTCTCTGTGCAGAGGGAGAGACGGAACACATCCGACAGGAGCATTGCGTTGTGGGTTTCGTGAGCCAGCAAGGATAATGAGTACAAATGTATCCGATTGTTACTGGGTTTCTTTTGGGTTTTGGTCGCGTGAAAATGTGTCGTAAGCCCTCCTCCACCTAGCGCAGACAATTAATGCAAGTGTCACAGGAATCAAATGTGGCCAAATATGTTACTGCTTCAGCTGCACCACCACCACCACCAACATCAGTGTTTGTGTTGTTGTTGGAGAGGAATCTCACAACATGCACATGGGTACGATGTTTGACTTGAAATTACATCCAGCATGCTCAGATACAAATGTATGTTTGTCTTGGGGGGGGGGGGGGGGGCTCATAATCGCCGTGTCAAAGCATTCAGTTGGCACCACTGATATCGTTAAACGTGATCAAATTGGATTCCGAGGAATACTGAGTTAATGGCCTCAGACTGGTCACCAATAAATGCAGAAAAGTCCACGATATTAAATCACAGTTCTGTTCTCTGCAGTTACCAGGTGATAACATTTTACTATTAGTGCCTCTTATTCTGAAGGATAATAACGCAAATGAAAATGCAAGAATGACGATGTCAGCAGGCGTTTGATTCATGCGAGAATTAAAAAAAAACAATGAAATACTCGAAGTAGTAGAGTATTCAGATTTTGTTGAGGTGGCTGGGTGGCTCCGAGGTCAGAGCGCTGAGCTGGCACTGCAGGGATATCCTGGGTTCAAATCCGGACAACCACCGGTGATTAATCTGCGTTATCGGGTGCAATGAGGAAAATGTTACACCCCAGTCGTCAATGACCGCACACACACAAAAAAACCCACCGCTCTCACATTCAATTTGGTCGCGCGCTTAATTTCGCTAATTAATTGTCAAATATTGGTTTGTTTCGATGCAATAGTAACTCCCAGTCGCCGAGTGCGGCCTAAAAGAAAGTGCGAAATTTAATTTTGCTTCAACTCACGTCGTCCAATCCGCACGGCGAATTTCGTCGCCGGGGCTCACGCCATAATAATCGCTGTGCCGAGAAGCTTTTGTTTAGTTTCATAAACCGAGAAGACAACGTTCGCGTATTTTTCTTCTCATCTGCCTCGGGGCTCGAAAAAGCAGGACTTAAGAGTTGCTGTATCAGCACGCTTCAGGACATGGCGCATTAACCTGGGAAGCCAACCCACCGCCATCGCAATGTGAGCATTCACGAATGGAATGATTCGACTATGGTGAAAGATGCACTTTTTGGATTAGACGCAAGTATTTTGTGTTTCTTCTCGTAAAATGTTTCCTTTCGTCAATGCGGTGTAATAACTTTGGCAATGGGCTGAAACTAATAACAATGAACCGTTTTTTATTGGTGTTGCACGTTTGTGGAGAAATGGTGGTGCCGCGGTTTATGTTACGTGCTGCGCAAGAACCCGATAACCTGAGTTCGATTCCCAACCGATGATGGTGAGTGAAATCGGAACCAAACCTGATACTTTGATCCCAACTAGCTAGCGTGAAGTATGGTAAAACAGCCCCCATGACTGACACAGCATGGAGAGGAGATCTTCACCCGGTAGTGGAATGACAAGGGGCTATACCTAATAAGTAATACCGATGTTTAGTTATTTACATAGCATGGGCATTCCTGAAAAATAGCATTTCATCTTCGCTGAGAAGCCGCACACAAGCTTGGAGGCAGCCAGGCATTGAGCGAGTATTAACAATTGTCCAAGCTCTGAAGATGTTTTCAGCCAATTAACGTTTTTTTTTCTTCTGATGTTCACTTCTTATCCAGTCAATTGAACAGTTTCCCACTGGCCAAAGGGTGCCCCTGAGTCAAGAGTACAAACTCTGTGTCTCTGCAGCACTCTCCATATGAGTGCTCTTGACGTCCCCACAAAGGTGGCATGGATTTTATCGACCCTGGAGAGTGATGATGGGCTTAGTTGAACATCCAATTGGTACTTGCCACAGCACTGCCTGGTTGTATCTACGATTGGGACAATATTTGTGTTTAGTTTGTTGTCTGTCCCCGCACCTCCGATTAGCACAGTTGGCTACGTACGGTGCGAAAGAAGTTCAACATACATACTGTACATACACATTTGGCATATTCCTGAACAGTCTGTGTTCAGACCCATAGAACATAAATACGATCATAACATGTTACTTCACGTCGGTTAAGTAATTGTTAGGACACATTTAAAAATAAGTGTGCAAATTATTTTGTTAACATCAATAGAGTTATGTACTCTGACCCAGTGTGTCTTGTGTTGTGACATTTGCCAGTTTTTTTTTTGTGTTTACCAACGGTATTACAATTTTTTGCTTTGTGCAGCACAAGCAAAGTTTATTTTACGTCAAATGATTTCGAAATATATGTACGTCTGCAAGTTTAAAGCACGATGGTACGTTGTTATTCCCCTCCCTATTTTTAGGGGAACAGTGGTTGCAGTTATTTGCCACCTGCCATTGGAAAATATAATTTCTTCGCATGGCTCAGCAGCCCAGATACACATGAGCAATATCCAATGCTTGGGTCGAACATTGGGAATCCTCGTTTTAATCGTTGTGTTTTATACTACGCAGCACATTTGCTGAAATGAATATAATTAATCAGTCCACACATCGTTTACCCTGGAAACATTCACCAAGTCTCAAGACTGATTTGAAGCTTTCGTGACTGCAGGAATCCATGCTCTTTGGTTCTTTCGGTAAAGTCACGTAGGTAGAAAAATAAAATAAAATAAATCACGACGTTTCGAACGCAACACAAGCGTTCAGTCTTCAGGTGAAAATCGCGATAGCAATCGTGACTTTACCGAAAGAGCCAAAGAGTAAGTCTCAAGACAATGTTTTCACGAGGGTCCTGCCAATTATGCTGGGTGTAATCCAAATTGAGTAATTTGCAGGTACATTTTCAGCATCGTTGGAATGTTTGGCCAATACCAATTACATTGTTTGCATTTTCAAAGCCTTGGGAGGACATTAGAGAACCCGGCAGAAACCCATGCGGAACAGGGAGAAAACACAAATAGGGAATCGAATCTAAGCTGCTGTGAGAGGCACGAGTGTTACCGTTGCACCCACCCTGCCACTCCAAATTAACAATGTGGCATATATTATGTAACAAAAGAACGGTGTCACCGTGGCATTATATTTGGCGAAGCAACACTCCATGAAGATAAGCACACACTGTGCGGTCTAATCATGCCGACCGGAGGAGGCACGTTTAAAACACAAACACTTCAGAGGCTTCATTATGCAACTGTAAAAATTAATACAAAGCATCACACCAACAAACCTCGGCTGCAATGCAGAAATTAGTAAAAGAACAAATGATGAATTGCCTTCATTTACCCATGAAAGTCTCATTGAGTTGTCAAGACTCTTCTTTGGGATGGTCCTTAATTGAGGATGTTTTAGTCAATTCCGTTACGGATAGTTTAACTTAATGTGGAGGAAAAAAATCAGAGAAAAAGGAAAATATCCACTGCGCATACGATTAAACAATATTACACAATTTTTTTTATTTACCCGGTAAGGCCCACTGAGCGATATAGCTCTATTTCAAAAGCGACCTGACCACAAATAATAATATGACACGACCACGGGGAGGGAGACATGCGAACTCCGAATATACAGCAGGCGTCAGGCTTTGGGATCGACCACACAACCTCCTGCATACCAGGCGAGGTAGTTAACATCTCGCCACCGTGATGCCCCAAAAATCTTTGCATTTAAGCGTGTAACACACAAATCTCCGCACAGATCGATTCAAGAATATATCGCCCTGCTGCCTTCTGGCCACCTCACAGGTCAACACCACAGAATCGAGCATTCCCAGGCAGTCTCCCATCCGAGTGCTAACCAGGCACAAACCCGCTTAGCATCTGAGATCTGGTGGAATTGGGCCCATTCATGGTGAATTCCAGTAGTCAGTCGTAGGCATATTCGGGGCTGATTTTCCTTTTCAGTAGCGAATGCAGATCGAGAGGCAATGTAAGAAATAGGTAAGCATTGACACGTAGAGGTCGCAATGCGGTGTCTGCATGGTGCCGTGATTGAGCTCTAGACTAGAAAAATAAGGTTACACATTAAAATCACAGAATATGCAATCTACTTCAAAATTCTGTTGTGCTATACCAACAGTGTTGCTTTTCTTTCTACGGAGAGAGTGGCCTTTGTCATGTGAATTAAGTATTCTGCCACTGGTGGTTTGTGTGTTTTAACGTGACAAATATAGTAAGACGGTAATAAAATGAGCTGAATATTAAGTGGCTGTCACCGATTTGGTGTTCGTTATTGAAACTTGTTGGACATGCTCAATACGTAGTCTTGTCCTTCAACATAGTCTTGATTTATAACGTACTGTGCACGAAATGTCAACATTAACTACGTAATTAAACAGGTGCTCATCGCACCTCTGATTAGCACGGTTGACTATGTATGGTGCAAAATAAATTGAACACAGATACGGAGTTGAAAACATACCTAAACACACGCTTTTAAAATCCTTGAATTGACCGTATCAGGTATTGAAAATCAAACTTTTAAAAATGATTGGCCATATCTTGACTGACGATTCCATGTTACATTTTGACAATGGCTACTTTTCCCATAAATTTAGGCCGACTCGCAAGGCTTTTTTTTCGACCGTTAATCCAGACTGAATAAAATATGTTTTTTTCATTTAACAGCCTTTTGTCAATCTACTGTACAAAAGCCTCTCTATACCATGTTGGCAATGGAGGTAGATTGACCATACTCTTTGGTTTTTTCGGTAAAGTCACGTAGGTAAAAAATAAAATAAATAAAAAATGAAAACAACTAAATTAAATAATGACGTTTCGGACGCAACACAAGCGTCCGTCTTCAGGTGGGGACAACGTAGCAAAAGCGCAACCGCTTAAGTGTGTCTAAGAGATGGCTGTGACAAGGAATTATACAGTTGCGGGGGAAGGCTAGAGGGGAGGGGCATGGTGAGTGTGGGGGC